ATTGTAAAGGATATGATTTATTCCTCTATGGAGTCACTTCCCTTTCAAGATGATACATCGAATGTGTCACCAGGAACTTGGCGACGAAAAATTATTATTGGACATAGGCACTGAACATTGCCAAAAAAAGGCAAGGGAGAAAAGAGGAGGACCCCAATAAAAGACAATGACTGATGATGACAACAGTTCATTCAGGAGAGAAGTTCGTCCGTCTTACCAGGACTTTGTCCGCTAACAAAGGGGACAGTTCGTTTGTCCGAGAATTTGCCACCATCGAAAGTTTGTCCTAGTCAGAGTTGCCTCAACAATTGGATACCTTAGTGACCTTCCTCCATCCTTAGTGATCCTACATGAATTCCACCAAGTCTTCAAGTTGCCTCAAATCCCTTATCAGGTATCTATGAACCATATATGTAAACTCTCTCTCCAACATTGAACTCACGAACAAGTTAACATCAAGGATGAAGCTTTAAATGCAAGATATTAACCTTGCTTACATACATTTAGATAGTTACAGTAAATAAATGGAAATTTGTTATTGTTAAATTTGTGTTTGGTGCACTTCCTCAACTCGTGTCATCCTTTCGAGTCAGAACTAAGCGCCTACAATGCAACCACTCACAAAAAACTGAAACTATCGCCAACAAGGCTTCTGTGTCTGCCTAAAAGACACAGTGGTGTCAATCCTGATGAACTAGTCATCGCAAATGCGGTGGCAACCCTTCGGTCCTATGGTGCTGAATCATAGGGGACACTTTGAGCATTGTCACACATGCATACTATATGATACTTATAAGAAAATTGCAACTTATGTGGATACATGATTAACTTGCAGATGTATCCCTCACATGTTTAAGCTTCTTAGAAACGAGCACAATATAGATAATGGGAGACAAACCTCTGCCCTCTTGATATACAAGGGTTATTCAAAAAGTTCTCAAACTTTATTTATTACGAAAAATATACTTACAATTTATTTGTCAGGGTTCCCTTCAAAGCAGTCTCTTCTCCAACATATCCCAATGGTGTTTCCACTTTTTGAAACAGTCCTGGAACACTTTTTCTGGAATGCTCATCAGCTCCTCCATAATTTTTTTTTCTATCTCTGGAATGGTAGCAAATCTTTTTCCTTTGAGTGTGTTTTTTAGTTTGGGGAACAGGAAAAAGTTGCATGGGGCCAGGTCAGGTGAATAGGGTGGATGGGGAAGCACAGCGGTCTTGTTTTTGGCCAAAAACTCATGAGTTCTGAGGGACAAATGAGCCGGCGCATTGCTATGGTGAAAAAAACTGGTACTTTTGAAACCGTGCTTGTAGTTATTAGTAGTAATTCAAACACAAATAATTATCGTATTTATTTTCAGGCACTTGGCAATTCTTATCATCAAGTTTTTATTCAGTTGAATAAAAACTGAATAATAATATCAACTGAATAAAAACTTGATGATAAGAATTGCCAAGTGCCTGAAAATAAATATGATAATTATTTNTATCGTATTTATTTTCAGGCACTTGGCAATTCTTATCATCAAGTTTTTATTCAGTTGAATAAAAACTGAATAATAATATCAACTGAATAAAAACTTGATGATAAGAATTGCCAAGTGCCTGAAAATAAATATGATAATTATTTGTGTTTGAATTACTACTAGTGAAAAAAACTACCAAAGTTCAGGCCATTTTTGCCTAATTCTTTTTCTTAGGCATTTCATAACCCCCAGATAGTACTCTGTGTTGACTGTCTGGCCTGTAGGTAGGTATTCGTGATGCGCAATCCCCTTTGTATCAAAAAAAACAATCAACATCACCTTAACATTTGAGCAAACTTGTCAAGATTTTTTGGGGTAGGGGATGTTTCAACCACCCATTGTGAAGATTGTACTTTTGTTTCAATGTCATATCCATAAACCTATGACTCATCACCTGTTATGATCCTGGTGTTAAGCCCCAATAGACCTAAGTCTGTTAGGCGAGGTTGTCGGGTAAAGGCACAGACACATTGATTGAGGACTTTACAATTGTGGTATATTTTTAACAATAAATTTTAATCATGAATACAAACAGACAAAATTTAATCTATTCTAACAACATGGGAGGAACTTAAACACATTAGAACTTCCAGGGAGAAGGATTGAAGAATTTACTTAAATATTAATAACACAGTAATCCACGTACCGACAAAATAATAGTCTTGGGATGTTCTTTGAAGTTTCCTGTATTTGTATTCCTACTTGTTTCTTGGACCGTTGACATATTTTCACCGATGGATTTGGATTCCGTTCACTCCTTAATTGAAAGTCCACACGTGTCGTTTTCTTTCTTCTTTGTCCTTGCACCACATAGTCTATTCTTAGCTCACAACAAGCCAGGGCCGAAGGGAAAACCAAAAAGTTCCTCTCTGGACGGGAGTCCAAACATTTATATCCCCCGCCATTGAGTGTGACGTGATGTTAGTCCTTGGCCAATCAGCAAGGGCGACGGGTTCTACCCGTCGCAATCCGATATCAGGAAAGAAAACGAAATTTTACAATAAAACCCGATATACATAAATAACAGAAACTACTATACAATAGTGCTTATGCACTACACTGGACAAGAAGGTTTCCTCCTCTTCAGTTCGATCAAACAGTTCCTGACAGACTTGAACTGAATGTTGTTTCTGGTCTGCTGTCATCAGGCGAGGCACAAATTTGGCAGCAACATGATGCATCCTCAATCTTTCATGCAGGATTTTATAGCATGATCCAATTGAGATGCCACCCTCTTCTGCAAGTTCCCCGACAGTTAAATGTTGATTTTCATGAATGAGACTGTTCACTTTCTTGATGTGGGGGGTCATAAGTCAATGTTGATGGTCGTCCAGAACACTCCCTTCCACTGATTGCTGTCCCTTTTTGAACCAGGTAAAACCACTCATAACACATGATACATTTTGTAGCATCCTTGCCATAAGCCTTGGTAATTAACTCAAAAGTTTCCATGAAGGATTTTTTAAGTTTTACACAGAATTTCATAGAACAATGATGCTCCTTCAAAGAGCTCATTTCAGTGGATCCGATTTTTCTCTGAACTCCACGAACATCACTTCACATAAATGGCCATAACTAATCACCAAAGCAAGATATCAACAAACGGGTTGAAACATGTAACATGTTTCAACCCAGAAGGTTTTCACAGACACAATGCCTCCAAGTGGATTAAAAAGTAACCAACTGGAGGTGTGCTATTCAAAAAGTTTAGGAACTTTTTGAACAACCCACGTATGCAGGTGAAAATGAAATTCAACCGAATTTACAACAAGCAACTTTGATTAGAACAATGGCAAACATGGGTCAACTCAAGGTGGTGGAGGCACTTTAAATTTTTAAAGCAGACAATCAAGAATGGTATATCAACTTTGAGGAGAAAAGGCAGATTTCCCAAGCATGGCAAACCTTATTTGATAGGTTTTTTTTTTTAAAACTGCATTACAACAGCTATATTTGGATGCATCCTATTGGACAATCTTTGGTTTTAAATTTGAATTTCTCTATATTCTGCACATTTTATTTTTGAAATTGAAGCCTCAGGCATTCTACTTCTGGAAAACTGTAACCTGAAGTAGATCTTAGACATAGACTGAAAGTGTTTGTTTTTCTGGACTTTTCATCAATCTGCTAGAAGAATTTCAAGGTGCGAGTGTTTTTATTTATGCATCATACTTTTGTATCTGACAATGATACTGTATTTCACATTAAAATAAGAATTTGTTTAAACAAATAATCTTTATTTTTTATATTTTTATCTATTTCTATTCAACAGGAAGTTCTGGGATACATATTGACATTGCTATTTATTAATAAAATAGCAATTGTTGCAAGTTAAATTAAAAGTATAAACAGTTATTATCTAGCCAATATGTTCATTTTCTATTAGTATAAGTAGCTGTTTTACATGTAACATACATATGTGTAACAAAACTGAGTTTAAAATTAAAAACTTTGGATATATTTAAAGTTTGAATGCATGTGTGAGAATACGAAAACAGAGAACCATTTTATTCGATAATTTATTCATTTTATTTACTACAGTCTTAGATTTCCCACTTGATAAATAATCTCTATGTAATATTTCAGCTATAAAATAGAGCAAAAATTAATGTTTTGTGTGGGAAAGAGAAGTAGAACTTCCCTTAGAAAGTTCTTATCTAATTTATCTGATGAACATCTATCTCTTGCATCAGATGTGTCCGGTCAGAATTCTACAATCTGATTGGTGAGAACTGAGAATAAATAGGGGAAAAATTCACGAGTTTGAGGCAGTCAATAAAAACCCGACATTGTCATAAATGACGAGAACTTGCCATATTAGCCACAGTTCATTACCAGAAGGGAGCTGCCATAATAATTAGAAGAAGAAAATAGTCTTGCATTCACCTCGCATTCTCCAAGTTTGAACTACTGAGGTATCATTATTTTTATCAATTGTAACTCTCTCTCTTATTTATTTTTAGATGTATCTTAGATTTAGAGGTTTGATTCATGATAGGTTATATTAAGTGTCTTGATTTTTGTATATCTTTGTTTTATTTTATACATTAAATTCTTCATTGTTAGTGTTAACCTGTTGATTTCCTCAGTTATTTAAGTATGGACATTCACCCTGCTAAGATCAGAACTTACTTGCGACTCCTCCCCGCTTGATAGAATATAGACCTCTGTTTAAACGTAACACGGAACATCACGAGTTAGAGCACAAAACTTTTACTCTAGCTGATGTCAGTCTTGACGTCAGAAGGATCTTACAATCCCCATGATATTCTATAAAAGCCATCCAGTGACATAGTAAGCGAGTCTCATGACCCGACGATTACAGGGCAATTCACCCATCATATTCTCACACATGTATCCACATATGCATTTTAATTTTTATTTCTAAGAATCATTGTACTTTTATTTTTCATTTTACATTTATTATTTGTGTCTTAAAATAATTAAATTTTATTATTGTTTTTTTTTATTTAGGGACGTAATGGTTGATTCTATGAACTATCATGATTTTTTGTCTTCAGAAATCAAGTGTGGAAATAAAATACAGTATAAGATTCTTCAACATAAAAAGCAAATGGTACTTTTATTTAAATATTATTTTGTCATATATAATATAAATTTATTTTTAAACAATGCTTATATTTTTAATATACTATAATTTAATTTTGTACAGTAGAAGTTTGTTAATCTAGAATTAATTATGCAAAATTTTTCAATAATAATCTGACATGCTAGTAAGAAAACCAGTGCACAATACCAAAAATCTAGCAAAAAACATGTAAGAACTTCCTGTAGGAAGCATTTGCTTTAGTAAGTTTTTGTTTTTTGCTAGATTTTTGGTATTTTATTCTGGTTTACTTTACATATATCCAGTTTTTGCTTGCCAATATATTTAAGACATGCTAGTATTCTTTGAATCAGAATTTGTTTCATCATTGGTGCATTAAAAATCCTGAGCATTACATTTTTTTCAAGTTTTTCAGTCAACCTTAGCATAGTATAGTCATATAATGTATTATCTTTAAACTGGTTAAAGAGCTTGCACAAATAAATTGGAAGTATACAGTAACAGGTTCTGGTACAAAATGTACATCAATGTCTGATAATTTAGTATTTTTGATAATTCAGTACTACTTTTGTCCTCCAGGTGTCAGATTAACAAACTTTCAATGTATTTAATACATTTATATTTTGAATACAGTATCATTATTAGTTAACCAAATTAAAATAAATAAATAAAATATTAAACAATTCACAAAGTGATCAAAATTATTTTGTGATTTGTCTATACTGTTAACAAAACCAAAATTTCTACTAACTGAAGTCTTACCTTGTTTTAAACAGGGTAAAGAAGTGTAAAGTACTATTTTATTTTTCCGACTTTTCCAATGATTATTGACACGACTGTGTGTTGGAAATAGCCATTCCCTAACGGGTACTTTACGCGGATTCGCGTTAGTGTGCCAGGCCTGGACTTTTAGCGTGCACCGAAATTAAATAATGTCAAAGTTTGTCAATAACAAATCAAATATTTAATTAATTTCTAGTAATAAACTATTTAAAAAATTTAGTAAGGATCAAATAACAATTTATTCAATGAAAATCAATAAGAATCCGACAAAACTCAAATCAATCTAGTTTCTAACTTAAATCTGTTCCTCTTTGGAATTCAACAAAATTCAAAGACTTAACTTATATACAATAATAATTCTTATGAATTAAAGATCCTAATCGTCACCTCAATATACTAGGAACCTATTTCCTCAACTCTCAAGACTTTCTCTATTCGTCGATCCACAAATCGAATAACTTCAAAATTGCCTTGGAACTATTTGATCCTATCGNTGTATTTATTTCCCAACATTATACCATTTTGATTTAATCTTAGTTGAATAAAGAATTTTTTAACATGAAATGCTAGATTTGTTAGCATATAATCATTGATTAATGGATAGTTTAAAATTATTTTGTACCAATTTCTATTTGTTCTTTTTTGAATGTCTTCGATATCTTGTACAATGTAATATTTCATTACACTATATATTAATAACTTCCTTTGTTGTTCAAAACTGTTAGTCTGATCCAAGAATACTTCTATAGAAAAACCATATGTATTTGAAATCTTCAATAGTTTTACTATCCAGTTATGCTTAAGGTCAGTATCTCTTGAGTTTTCATATAGTAAATACAGTGTTTTTGTTGTTAAGTCTTCAAAAGTAAGTATTTTTTAAAGCCATTTAATATATCTTTATATCAATATTGTATTTAGTTTGCATCTATTAATTTCAAGTTGTAGTGCACTGCCTGGGATATTGTATTCCAATTGGAATATTCTACGAATGAATATATTTTGTATTTTTTCTAATTCATCAAATTTACCTATGCTCCAAATTGGAGAAGCATAACCCATTGAATTCATCATCCATTATTGTTTTCCTGCCAGTTTTTGTATAACCAATCTTTAACAACAGATAGCATAAAATAAATAAAATGTCAGCAATTTAAACTACTGCACTGCAAACAAATAATGATTAAAGTTTAAAGAACTTTTAATGCATAATCCTTTTTAGCCTTAAGTGGCTGAAAAGAATTGTCATTATCAGCCAGATAGTGATGCTGAGAGAGCAAAAAGAGAACTTAAAAATGCTTACATACCTGAAGATAATAACCAGTGGCGGCCTTAGGGGGTGGCGAGCAGGACAATCGCCCGGGGCCTCGCGCAACAACCAAGTAGAAAATAGTTGATATTTAAAACTTTTTATTTTATCCTTGGCTATTAGTTATAACAATAAAATAAATTTAATTTATAGTACAGTATATATTTAATATTAATAAGTGCCTACTATTTCAATTCACATACTTTGCACAAAGGACAAGGGCCTCGCAAAGATCTGCCACCCAGGGCCTCGCATAGCTCTGCCGCCCAGAGCCTCGCAATGGATAAGGCCGCCGCTGATAATAACTATAATCAAAACTCTAATTACACATGCTAATTCTGATAACAGTATTCATGATTATACTTTATCTATATCTAGATTGTATTTGGTATTCTCTTTCAAGTATTTTCTTTCTTTACAAGCATTCATAAATACATATGTTTATTGATAAAAAAAAAACTTCTGATCATGTGTGAAAAAGGACCATGTATGAAATCATTTATAAAATTTCAGAAAACAAAATACAAACACAAAATTGCAAAACATGAAACATATATTTAATATTAAACTTATTATTTACTTTTTGAAAATTTCTGAATGTTTTTTATTTACATTAATCAGATTGAATGGATGCTCCAAGATGAAATAGCTTCTGCTGCTTTAAACACCTATCCTCTAACAGTAACAACTCTTGAAATGGTTGCAAAACATGTAAAGAATTCCACCCAATATCCTTGTTGTTTGATGGAGGAAGTACCACTTCAGTTTGTTTTCGGATCAGATATAAGTCTTGATAAATTTACTCAGGTATATATAATTTAAATTAGACAACTGTTTTAACTTATTTTATCTTAGTATTAAATACAGTAAACTCTTTGGAGTAATGTGCAATATTTTCAAGAATTTTTGCTTGCGTTTGATCAATCTGAATAAGGGAGAATCCAGATATGAGAGAACTGGATGTAGGAGAGTCTATAGTATTTTATATATTAAAATATGTTTTATTCCAATTTATAATTTTAATATTTTCATTACATTAAGCTATATTTTGTTGAACATATTTCAGGAATTTAATTTGATGTACAAATTTTAATCATTTTTTACCTCTTATATAGCTAAAAATACTCAAATCTATAATTTTTTCTAATGATTTGCTTGCAAAACACTATGGACTTGATCAATATTCAGTTGTACTTGAAGTTGAAAGATAGACCCACCCAACATTATCAAATGTATATACACAATTAATATCATCATCATTTATTTTTAACGTATTAGGCATTCACCTGTTACAGAGACGTGCTATTTAAACATAAATTATTATAACTTTACAATCAATAACTTCATTACATATAATTTTTTTTTTTCCTTGTATCTAACATATATTTTAATTTAGGTTCTTGATTAACCGTTTNAAAATCTCGTGAAATCTCATTTTTATAATGGTTAGTATTGAAATTAATGAAGAAATAACAGAAAAATCAAGATGCCCAAAGAAAAAGAAAATTAATTTTCTTCAGAAGAAGTGATTGAAATTTAGAGATTGAAAGCAAGTGGACATTCAGTTACTGAAATATCAAGTTGATTAACCGTTTATTGTTTGAAAAATTCCCTCATATAATTATAAAGATTAAAGATAGTATCAATATTCTCTTTGTCCAATATTTTATATATATCTAGCTCGTTCATGCAGTTAACTATTGGCTTAATTTCAGAATTTTGAGCATTGTTGTTTTCATTGTTGCATTTACTAAAAATGTATATTTTTGATAATGGTATATCACAATTTGGGCATTTGGATTACGCATATTCTATGTATTTATTTCCCAACATTATACCATTTTGATTTAATCTTAGTTGAATAAAGAATTTTTTAACATGAAATGCTAGATTTGTTAGCATATAATCATTGATTAATGGATAGTTTAAAATTATTTTGTACCAATTTCTATTTGTTCTTTTTTGAATGTCTTCGATATCTTGTACAATGTAATATTTCATTACACTATATATTAATAACTTCCTTTGTTGTTCAAAACTGTTAGTCTGATCCAAGAATACTTCTATAGAAAAACCATATGTATTTGAAATCTTCAATAGTTTTACTATCCAGTTATGCTTAAGGTCAGTATCTCTTGAGTTTTCATATAGTAAATACAGTGTTTTTGTTGTTAAGTCTTCAAAAGTAAGTATTTTTTAAAGCCATTTAATATATCTTTATATCAATATTGTATTTAGTTTGCATCTATTAATTTCAAGTTGTAGTGCACTGCCTGGGATATTGTATTCCAATTGGAATATTCTACGAATGAATATATTTTGTATTTTTTCTAATTCATCAAATTTACCTATGCTCCAAATTGGAGAAGCATAACCAATTGAATTCATTACAATTGAATTGAATAGCTGAAATTGAGTATGCACATTCTTCATTTTGATTTTACAAAATAATACTATTAAATTATTAATTAAGTTTTTTGCTTTGTTTATTGTATTCTTATAATATTTCTCAAATGATAAATTAGGTGTAAATATTATTCCTAAAAAATTTAACTTTGTTTACTATTTTCACTTCTCTTTTAATGTAGAATGACATGTGTTTTTTAGGTAGATTACTACCGTTTCTAAAAATTATTATTACTGACTTTTTTGGATTTATTTTTACTTTTATTTTTTCCAGGTATTCAGATAATTGTTGAATTTTTCTATGCAGTGCTGCAGCTGTCGGTGCAAATAGAACAATATCATCTGCTTATGTTATTGAATGTATGCTTAGATTATCAATATAGATTCCATCTTCTTCTCTTTCAAAACAATTATTCAGATCAAAAAGATAAAAATTAAAAAGGTATGGTGAAAACGGATCACCCTGTAACAATCCTCTATTCATTGTAAATGGTGGCCAGACATTATTATTTTGTTTGATAATCGTCTCATATCTCCCGAATAAATTTCCTATTATTTTTATTAGATGGTTACTTGCGTTATATTTCTCCAATTTGATCTGTTAATCTCCTATACTAATCGAGTCGTATGCTTTTTCCAAGTCTAAAAAGATTGCAAAGACCTTGTGCCTTTTCTTAAGCAATTGTAGTTGGATTGTTGTCAATAAGATGGAAAGAGCTGTTTGTGTACCTCCTTTATCTACGAATGCATATTGTGTTGGATTCCTATAGTTATTTTTTTCAAACCAGCTCTGGAATTTATCAGCTAAAATTGCGGTAAATATTTTCCGGAAGCCCAACAGTAATGCAATTGGTCTATAATTTGATGGTTCATCTTTATTGCTTTGTTTAAATATCATTGTAAATATGATTTCATTCCATTTATCTGGTATTAAACTATACGTATATAATTTGTTGAATAATCTGGTTAAATAATGAATTAGTTCTGTAGGAAATAGTTTGATAAATAAATTGGGGATCATATCTGATCCAGGTGTAGATTTGTCTTTCAATCTATGTATACATTTCTGAACTTCTACCTTAATTATCTCGTCTTGGTTTATCAGATGAATTGTCCCAACTTCCGTATATGTTTGTCTCTGATTACACAAATAGTGTTCTGTGAACTTTTTAAAGTATATGACCCATTTATCATAGTCCACTCTACTTTGTATATTATATTCCAACTTCTTTTTTTGAAGATTATTGATTATCATCCAAAGTACTCTTGAATCTTTTGCTTCTATTAATTTCTTAGTAATGTTTGAAAAGTATAATTTCTTTTTTGCTTTGATTAAGTTATTATAAGTTTTCTTATTTTGTATGTATTTTATAAGTGTTTCTTTTGTGTTGGTTTTTCTAAAGGCTTGCAAACTCTTTTGTTTTTTGATTTTATGGGTATAACAAGTGTTATCAAACCATTCGTTCTTATATCTTTGCTTATAAAATTGTCTACATTTCTTAAATCTGAATTCTCCTAATTTGGTTAAAAGCCTCTGATAGTCAGTTATAGGATCGTTCTCTTCTTCTAAATTTATTAGATCAACGATTACAGATTCAACCTCCTCCAACCATTTTCGTTTATTATATGTTGGAAGATATTCCATATTAAAACCCTGACTATGTACATAGCTTATTTTATTACTACTTAACTTCAGTTGTATCAGAAAATGGTCCAAAGTATCGTCTTCCAGAACTGTAAGGGTCATACAGTAATCTATCACAGCTTCTGAATATACAGTATAATGTAATCTATAGTTGACTTTCCATTTCAAGATATAAATGTGAATTCTGCGAGAACATCAACTTTCATTCTATCATTTAAGATAATTAACTGGTTATCTTGTACAAAGTCCAAGAGAATTTTACCGTCTGTATTTAGTAATTTATCTTTCGATAGTCTTCTGTTGTTGATATTATCATAATTCTGAAAAACATTTGTATCAGAGTTTTCACCAATACGTGCATTAAGATCTCCTCCAATCAGCCATAGTTGGACCAAAAAGGACCATCTATTTAAATAATACTGTACTTCTTGTAATATAGATTTCTTATGAATTAATGGTGGGAGGTACATTACTACTAGACCCAAATATGGATAATTCCATATAGTTTTAGTTTCATTATCAACTTTTATTATAATGACTATAAAGTATTCTAGAGTATACTGACAAAGAATGACTCCCAATTTCTTCTTAATTAGCAACAGGATACCACTTGATGGACAGCCAAATTTACTTTTACGAAGGGCCTTACTCGTTCTGATATTATTCTCTTGTTTTAAATAATTTTTTTCAGTCGTACTCAAGTTGAGACTCCATGTTTCTGTAATTCCAACAATTTTGTTTGAATTTAGGAATTTTCTCACTGAAAATTTATGTATTTTTTCTCTTAAACCTTGGATATTCCAGAAACTTATCTTCATCTTACTACTTTCATAATTTGATCCATCTATATTGATCGCCTTAAAGTTGTTATTTATAATAGACAAATTATCTTCATTCTTATTATTATTATTTAACGTCGGCTTTTTCCTCCCATAATTTTCGTGCTTAATATTAGTTTTTTCTATTAATTTATCTAAGTTTGTTTTGTTGCTAATCCTAAAAAATGATTAATTAATATGATCTCTCTTGTATTTATATCGTATATATACATTAAATTATCTTTAATATAGTAGTCGTCTATTACTCGATATCTATTGCCGTCTGAATATTCTGACTTAATCTTTTGGAGTAACTGCTTTCTTCTAATTCTGGAGCGATAACATAAATCCGTTTTTATTATTATTTTTTTCTTCTCATCATCCATTTTTGGTCTCATTCTCCAGAATTTTTAAAAATTAGATTTTTGTCTTTGACCGTTTCCATTATAATTTTTACCATTTGATTATTTGGATTATTTTTTAACTGAACTAAACCCTCAATTTCAATATTATTTAAACCCAAGTTTTCATTTATAAATTTTTTGAGTTCTACACCCTCAAAAGTTTTAAAAGGAAAATTTATGATAACTAGATTTTTTCTTGTATTTCCGTTTAGTATTTTATCGCATTCAAATTCGAACATACCTTTTAAATTGGCATAGGAATTAGTCCTTTCTTCTAATGTGTGAATTTTATGATCAATGTTCTTAATTTCATCTTTAATCTTGGCATTGTCTTCCTTCATACGAGGGCAAGGTGAAAAGTTCTCGGCCTAGTAGTGAAAAAATGAGTTTTTTATTTTAAAAGTGCATTTATTTCTCAATGTAGTCTTCCTTTAGTTCAATACACTTTGTCCAACATTTCTCCAATAACAGTATTCCATCCCTGAAGTGCGATTCTGGAAGGTCTTCAAAATATCCATTTACTGCTGTTATCACCTCTTCACTTGACCCAAAATGTTTTCCAGCTAAAAATTTTTTAAGATTTGGGAATAAATGAAAGTCACAGGGAGCTAAATCTGGCAAATAGGGAGGATGTTCCAATAATTCATATGTCAAATCCCTCAATTTTCCCATTGCCAAAGCACCTTTGTGAGCAGGTGCATTGTCCTGGTGAAAGAGGATTTTTTTTCTTTTGCAAACAAGGCCTTTTCTCTCTAATTTTTTTATCTAGCTGGTCAAGAAGATGTGCGTAGTATTCCCCATTAATTGTTTGACCCTTTGATAGGTAGTCAATTAAAAGAATCCCTTTGGAATCCCAAAAAACACTAGCTATAACCTTTCCAGCCGATGCAATCGTCTTTGCTTTCTTCGGTGCAGAGTTTTCTTCGGTCACTGCTTGGACTGTTGTTTTGACTCAGGGGTAAAGTGGTGAATCCATGTTTCATCCATTGTAACAAATCTGTGCAGAAAATCAGTTGGGTTCTTTTTAAAACGGCGCAAACATTGATGAGAAAGTCGATTCCTCATTTGTTTATGATCAGCATTTAACAAATGCGGCACCCATCTTGCGCAAAGCTTTCTCATACTGAGTTCTTTGTGTAAAATGTGCCTTACCCTTTCTTCTGAGATGCCTACAGCCTTAGCTATCTCATACACCTTTAATCGTCAATCATCTAGAACCATATTGTGTATCTTCTCGATATTTTCTGTGGTAGTTGCAGTTTTTGGCCGTCCTTCACGTGGATCATCTTCAATCGATGAATGACCACGTTTAAACTTTGCTGCCCATTTTTTTACTGTTGATAACGAAGGTGCAGACTCCTTATACACTTTTACCAAGTTTGGATAAATTTCTGTTGGCGATAAACCATCCAAAACAAAGAATTTTATGACGGAACGATATTCAAGTTTATTCATTTTGTCAAAAACACACACAATTCTTACTTTAAACAGCCATATAAAAAGAAGTATTTGTCTGATCAAATTCACACTTGGTATTTACTTTTGTTTGGAAGTTTGGAAACATAACCAGACGATACTTTCATTTGTAGTAGCGCCATCGATGGGTTAGGCCGAGAACTTTTCACCTTGCCCTCGTACAGCTGATTTCAGATTTAATTGTTTGAATCTCCTGGGTCAGAAGGTCAAACTTCTCCCGAATCAATTTGTAAATCGATTTTAATGAGTATCTGGGTTCATTATTACTTAGATATCCTAGGTTTTCTGTTGGTTCAAAAAAATCCTTAATGGTAGTGTTTTTCGTAGCACCCGTAGTTTCTCTCATTTCTTCTTTGGATAGATAATCTTTTCCTAACAATTCTACTAACTGATTATTTTCTTCCGTGACTTGTGAATAATCCTTTCAAGGTCTACCTCGCCCCCTTCTTTGCATAGTTACTTGACTTGCCTGAGGGGGAGAACATTGAATAGGACCAGGATTTTTTTCTATTCCAGCCATAATTAGCAGAATTGTTATTAAATTCAAAGTTAGTGGACCCATTTGACTTCTTATAATATCTTGATAATTGACATTATTTCTTAAAACTTCCATACTAACTTTCTTCAGAACAGCACTACCAAAAAGTCACCAACACCTTCGCTGTCAAACATGCCCCTACACAATTAATAATTAAATTCAAATACTTAATATTATTTTTTTTTATGTTTCTATTTAAAAAACTTTGCTGCGAATCATATTAACTACTGTGAATAAGTCTTTGGATGTAATTTTTGTACTATCATAAATTAAAAACGTGTTATCATAAATATATCACAACAAACATCACTCCTTTTAAATCTATTGTAATTATATCCAGTTGTATTAACTAATAAAAATTGTACCAGCTGTAATAATAACACAAGCCTACAAAAAAAAATTTTTTTTTTGGTGCCTAGGTTTTTAGAACTGATTTTAGCTATATTTGGGTCACTGAATCCAAATATGAAATCAGTTTTTCTCTATCAGCTCTACTTTTTTAGATCTGTGTTTTTTTAACATACAGTGCTACATGAAATGTGCAGCTCTAATTCCAGTTTGTACAGTTCTAAATCATATATGCAAGAATTGATTCCTGTATATTTTTCCCATTGTTAGTCTGCCGTCCAGTTAGTTCCAGGTAAAACCACCAAATGAAATAAGCATTTGGTAACGACGTTCAATGCTTCAACTAGAGTTGAGGTAAGTTTGTAAGTTCTAGCCGTGCAGTATCTATATCAGTGTTTCCCAACCTTTTTTGCCCCACCTAAGCCTTTCTAAAATTCTTATGCCTCAGTTAAGTATAGAAAAAATTAAAGCATGAATATTTGACGGCCCACAAATAAGACAACTCATTAACGATCTTGCCTTCGTCAATTCGATGAATGAAGCTGAGCAAAAAGCCTGGACTTCATTTGTTGCAGTTGTCAGAAATTTTCTAGGCAAACGCAAAGCTGAAAATTATGTTGAACTGGTAAACGAGATGCTTAACAGTTTCAAATTCCTTGGGTGTAATATGAGTATTAAGGTGCACTATTTACACAGTCACTTAGACCGTTTTCCTGAAAATTTAGGAGACACCAGTGAAGAACAAGGTGAAAGATTTCACCAGGATATTAAAACTATGGAGGACTGCTACCAAGGAAGATGGGATACGCATATGATGGCAGATTACTGCTGGAGTTTAAAAAGGGATTGCTCCAAAATATGTTCACGAAAGTCACGGAAATTAAGCTTCCTCAATGTGTAACTGTTTAGTTTTATTGATGACTTTTTCCTCTATCTTTGTATAGAATAATATTTGCATAATATAATAATAAAAATTCCGTGTTTAGTTTTTTTACTTGATCCATGGATACTGAAACGTATATTTCGCTAAAATGCTATATCTTAAAAATTAGAGCTCCTAGGCAAAAACTAATGCCATATTTGAATTCAGGACATCAAATTCATATGAAATCAGCTCAAAATACCTGGGCACCAAAACCACTGTTGACCTGTGTAATTTATTTTTTTCAAAGTTTTAAAATTTTTGTTATTATATCTTAGTAATTGATGAGTACATACTGAATGTCCAATGATACCATTGTTTATGCACTCATCAACTTGAATTTAGTTGGTTTGTCTGTTAATTCATCTACATTTTTAATGAAAACGTAGAAGTATCATAAAGACTAATTTATTTTTAACAAATCTTTTTCGGTTCTTTAAAAATAAGTTAGTCTTACTTTATTTTTACCATTTAAACAGTTATATGTAGAATTTAGTCATTTCCATTTTTATTATGAAATAAATTTGGTAAAACTTGCATAGAAGATACAGAAATGAATCTAGTTTACTCCCATAAAAAGAAAATAAGTTAATTTATGACTGTATTTTATTAAAGAGTCTCAGAACTTTACAGATATAGGTTGTATGTACTTTCAGTTGTATGTAATATTCAAAAAATTCTTTAAAATTTATATAAAAATAGTTACAATTGATTTATATATGAAGTCATAAAATAATTTTAATTAAATGAAAAAGAATAATATGTTTTTGTTTGTTAATTTGTTAATTCAGTATCTTATATTTACATATAAATAATTATAAGTTAAAATTTCTTTCAGGAATTTAAACAAATGTCTGCACCTGGTTACCATTTAAAGAAAGAAGAAAATTATTATTATTTGATTATAGATATAGAAACTGCAGAAAAACTTAAAAGACCATTTGGTTCTCTAATACCTCCTCTTGGTGCAGCTAGTAAAGATTTAATCATTCAAGCAAATCCACATGGAGATGATAGTACTCAATTAAAAAATATCACTGAAACTTCATATAAAGACAAAGACATACATGTAAGAAGGCTAAGTGACACAAGTCTTACAGAGGATTGTAATCAGTATTTAGACTTTATGAAAACATCGAATCAGTCAATTAATGCTCCACAAATACTGAATATTTTACGACAGAAAACGCACAATGAATATGAATCTGAAACAGAAGATGGTGAAGATAAAAATTATAAAAAATCAAGAATGACTCGTAAATTGAGTTCTAAATCTCAGAGAGATAGATCAAGAGAAGAATCTCGAGCATCTTCTGTTCCTCCTTCACTTCCTGATGAAAATCTCTCTCTTTCTCATAATGAAACTCTGCAAGTAGGACAGTCAGCACCTTCAGGGTTTACAAACTTTTTCCAGAATGTAGATACACTTTTAGAATGGAAACAAATAAAAGAAGAATCAAATGAATCTTTTTATCAAAAATATATGATAGAAACTGAAAGAAAATCCAAAAATAATTATTTTGAATCTTCAGAAGAAATTCAAGAAAATAATTGTCATTCCTTATCTGATAATAGATCTTCTAGTCCTGGTATTGAAGTAGATTCTCAGGTAATAATATGTAAATATTATAAAATTTTATAATAAAATTAAATTTAAAAAATACTAAATTAAACATATCCACTTTTACTTGTAGATCAAAAAGCTACATTTTAGACTAGTAAATGTTACTTTATTTTTTAAACACTGGTTAGACAAGCATTTTCAATGTCAGTTATTAATGAAATAACATTAATTTTTTAATTTGTTTTTAAAATAAATTAAACAAGATTACATCATTTTAAATAATTTAAAAAGTTAAAATACTTTAAATGGAGTAAGATAGTTAAAATTTAAAGGTTCAAATATCTTTCCTATGTTTCTAAAGCAATGATTTATGTTATCTCTTTATGCATTGTAAAATTGTTCTATTTTCTCTGCTTAGATTCTTTTGACATGGAATATTGAAAAATAGTCAAAATAGTTTTTAAATCTCCAATTTTTGACTTCATCTAAATAATTTATTTATTTTTGTTATAAACTAAGATTATAAAATATAATACTAAAATAATTATAAAAAAATAATAATAGCAGCACAACTCAAATAAAAATAATACTACACCCTGAAAACCATCAAAAATGATGGGAAAAGAAATGAAAACAATTGATTCTTACATAAACATTGCATTATTTCCTAATAATTTTCTTTGTTGTTTCAAATCCAAATATAAACTTTTTAAGTTCTTGTCATCATAACAAGTAATCCTAACTTATTTAATTTTGTCACTTTTTGAATTTGGTAAAATCAAAAGCACATTTTATGCCAATTTTACAAATAACACATAAATAACTGCCTTTTGGCATTAAAACTCTTTAATTAACACAAAATATAAAAGCAAGCACTTGACAGTGCATTGCTTGCTTTTATATTTTGTGTTTACCTAACCTAAATAATTTGCTTAAGAAAGACAGCACTTGACAGTGCATTGCTGTCTTTCTTAAGCAAATTATTTAGGTTAGAATGTCAAAACATTAGAATACTGAACAAGAAATTCAAAGAGAGTATAATATAAAAAATTTTTTAACAAAAGTTTTTTATGATGTTTCTTTTTTCAATTTTATAACAGACTAAACTTAAAGAAGCACAAATTGACATAAAACAAGTTTTTAAAGAATGGAAATAATTTTTAAAACTACAAAAATAAATTAAAACTATAAATTAAAAACTATAATGGCTGATAACCACAAATTAAGGTTTCAGAAGTTTGAAAATAAATATCCAAAATTTTCTGAGGTTAAGGATTTGTCTATTATTAGAGTTTGTAGTTGACATATGTAAGGATTCCCAGATAAATATGATTATCTGGTCCATACACTTCCACCAGATTAACAACCTATATAATACTGTTTTAAATCTCTGCAAATATTGTATTAGAATCATATAATATCAGACTTCTCTAAGTATACAGACATATCGCTGTCATTACAAAGGATTCTGTGCAATGATAATTGCAGTTTGATGAGCAGGGTGAGACTGTATTGTTTGAAAATATGAACAATAAAACAGGCCCTAAACTGAGGATGGAAGATTGTGTGAACACTAGATCTTTTTTAACATATAAGGTGGATAGTGGGAACAGAAATCTTAGGACCTAGTAATGATTTAGTTCAGTTTTGGTATGAGAGTATCTTGTCCTGCTCACTGCTGTAATAATATACTGTAGTTTATTAATACCAAACATTGTGAGGACAGATACAAAATGGGAGCCATTCACATTGTTAGATTAATTAATTAATTAATTAATTAAGTTTTGAAAATTTTTTTTTGAATTTTTGGAATGTTTTTTAAGTCCCCAAATTTTTCAAAATTTTTTGCCCGCGCGAAAAATTTTTATCGCGATTTTAATTAGCCTTTAATCTGGCTCGATTAAGGCTTAATTGTTTTTAATGGGATTTTTTTTATCAAATTTAATTCATTGTTCTAAAGTTGTAGTGCACGGATTTGACTTCGGTAAAGTTATTTAAAGGTAGTTTCTGATGTCAAAAACGACCTCCAAAAGTTTTTAAAATTTTTAATTAATATATTTTATTTTATACAAATTTAATTAATTAGGGAGGGTCGGAAATCGCAATAAAATTTTTAATTTTTTAAAAATATCTAAAAATATAGGCCTAGTCACCCTACTTTAAACCCTTGTCCTCCCGAGACGTCTATGAGAATGCCCGGAAAATCTGACTCCAGCTGTTCTCAAGGTCATCCAGCTGTGTAAACAATGACTCATCGGTGTTAAATTTCACAGAAAGGCGAGACAAAGGAACTTAAACTTCAAAGCTTTTTCTTCAAAATAAACGCATTTCTTTCNCTGTAAGGTCTCTTTTTATGCGGATTATTTTTATGCGATTTTGAAGTTGTGCGGTTTGTATTTCATCCAAAAATTTCTTGGACAAACATACATATAGGCTTGTTTAGGAAGCCCGTGTATAGACAGTCTCCAAAAATCGTGGAACGCTCAAAGTTCACTCCATTTGTTCCGCTGACATATTAGTTTTCTTTTAATATTCATAAAGTTTTCAGTTTAAGTTAATCTAGCACATTTAATGCACTGATCTATTTACAAATAAAAATAAATTATGTATCAAATAATCTTAAACAATATCATATAATGTATTTTTGTAGAATATTAGTCTCTCAGAAACAGTTGATGATGTTATATCAAGAGACTGTACTGAAATAGAAAATGATGAAACTACTGGTCTAGATTATACAAGTAAAGATGAACTGCCTTCTCCCAGTGATCTTGCAGATAATGGTTTTAATCCAAGATTACATTTAACAACAGAGGAATCACTTGGATCAACACCAGTTGTGTATAGTGAGGTTGATTTTGCTAGCTGCATTGGTAGTGGTCATGTCAGCAACACAGAGGAAGGTAATGAAATTTTATTTAAAATACTAAAAGATTATTTCTCAAATACTAATAATTTTATACATTAACTTATTATATCTTAAATTTTGATTTTATAAATAAGTAGATCAAATTTTTATTATTATTATTATTGTATATTTATAATTTTTTATATTCCAAACATTATATATAATTTTTTTAAATTATATTTTTAAAATAATTAAATAGCACAATTGTTTGCTGCTTAATTTAAAATTGATTTGTTTCCTTTGAAAATCTTGTTTCATTAAATCTTCAATGCAATTACTATTTCCATTTTCAACTTTATTATTGTCTGCTTGCATTAGTCAGTTATTCAATAAATTGAATTTTCTTAATTTTTTTTTTCTTAGTGAAATCTATTTACATATTTTTAATTATTTAGATGAATGAGGACTTAATATTATTTTTGTTTACATCTTGGTTTCTATTGAGTATTGTTCTTTTCTTTAATTTCTGTTTTTATTTAAATTCTACTTATTAATCTCTCTTTGGATTTAGCTAAATAAACCTATTTTTTCTTAATTTATATTTTAAAATTTAACATAAAACTTAAATATGTATTTCAAAATTTTCATGATACACATGATGATACATGATTTACTAATAATTATATGAGGTAAATTAATTTTGTTGATCTTCTTTTATATGGTAACTTGTTGCTTATTGAACATAAAAGAGTATTCATACTTAACAAACAATTATATTGAGTTCTTCAATAGGACTTGAAGTTTTAAAATGTAAGATATTAAATTGTTAATATAATTTTTTAATAAGTTTACCATTTTATCAAATTATTTAATCATTGAATTGCATTTTCAGAATATAATTTTATTTATATAAAATAGAAGTATTAATAACTATGTAATTACATTTCATGTTTTATATATTATTATTAATTTCTGTTAAAACAGTTTCTATATATGTATATATATTATAATTTTTTAACAGGCTATGAAGGTGATAGTAGTGAATCTGATAGTAATGAATCTGACGGTGATTGTGATTGGTTGAATTTACTTGATACAAAAAGACCTCTTTTGCCTGGGTTCTGGCTAATTATGGAAATCTTCAAAGATAAAGTTTGCCTATATTTTCACATTAGGTATTCAACAAAACTTATTTCTAAATATTTTTAATATATGAAATTTATAGTTAACAAGTATATGATGATAAAACTTTGAGAAAGTGCTTCAAATGATACAATATTGTAAAAAGTAAATTGCTAAAAGAACAGACATTTTATATTTATTCAGTTTAAACAATTTTCATGTTTATTTAGCTTTTCCAATTTTAAACCATTGAATGATTATGAATCATTATGAATGAATATTTGCTAAGTAAGAACAACAACTTGTAATTTTTTTGAACAAAAGGTTTTTGGCTAATTTAAATCAATGAAGTGCTGTTTCAGGAATAAAAATCTAATTTAAAGCTCTTATTTCAGCAACTAATTTATGCTGTTAATATGTTCTTATCACATATTAGTTGTTTTTAATATAGTGTAATACTATCTAATTCAGTTTAAAACTTATTTTAAATATTTCAAAAATAATTTTGTTTTCATAGAATTATCATAATTTAAAGTTATATAGTTCTTAATTATTTTAATTTGTTTTTAGATGGAACAATTAAATTGTTTATTAAAAGGTTAAATTTAATTTAAAAAATGGTAATATAAGACACTTGTATTGCAGAAGTATGGGAAATGTTTTAAAAATATATACAGTAGAGCGTCGATTTTCTGAAAGTCAATCATCCGAAAGAATTCCAGTCGACAAATTTAAATTTTCGCCAGTGCTTTGGAGCTTCAATCTTTGGCTATGTCTTGGGCTACTCAAATATTTTATGTTTTTGATACTAAATTAACATCTGAAGTATAATTTTTTATTATTTTTATATTTTTCAATATATTTATTTTGTTTGTACAAAATAAAAAAATAATTTTTAATGATANTATGTCTTGGGCTACTCAAATATTTTACGTTTTTGATACTAAATTAACATCTGAAGTATAATTTTTTATTATTTTTATATTTTTCAATATATTTATTTTGTTTGTACAAAATAAAAAAATAATTTTTAATGATACAATAGTCTTTGTTAGGCTTAACATCGACGAAAATTCAACGCAAAGCGACACGCAATGGATAAAAATTTCGACATCGGATACGTTAAACTATTTTTTCGTATGTAAATCAGTTATCCGGACAACCCCAGTCCCCAATTGATTCGGAAAATCGACGCTCTACTGTATTACATATTTTTCTGATATTCCAGTTTTCGTGATTACAGATAATATATTTGCATTCTTTAAATTTTATTATATCTTGTCACAAGGAAAGTGTTTTAAAATTAATAATGGATTTTAAAACTTAATTTTTAATACTTATTAATTATTTTTTATAGAATTTTTTTAAAAATTAGAGAATTCTTTTTAAAATTTTAAAGAAAAATTAAAGAATTCTAAAGAAAGTATGTTGTTATTTACAGGTTTGTAAAGGAAATAATGATGATAATTGTAAAATAAAAATGTAATAATGTTTTCCTCCATAAAATCAATGTTTATGTTTAAAATCAAAGCAGTCATTTGCTATGTAAATCCCATGATAATTAGTTATGATTTTGCTACATTTAATTTATGTAGCACTTTAATAATCAGTGTCAAATAAATGCATTTATATTTGATTCAAGAAATATTTAAACTTGTTTTATTTTAAACAGCTTAATTATTTTTCATATTTTTATTATTGATTGATATTTTTAATTTTTTTAAAATGGTTAAAAATAATTTAACAAATTAAAACATATAGCAGTTAATAAAAAAAAATTTCATTTTGGTAAGGAATATATTTATGAGAACAAGTGATGAACAAGTAATGATCTTTGCAACATTTTATATCTTTCATGTAGTTCTTATCTATGCCATTTAATTAAAGATCTTTATTTAGTATCATTTGAGACGTTGAATTTTGATTGACACAAATATATTTGTGTAGATATGTGACTATCATTTAAGGTATCTGTATTTATTTGACTAATGATAACATGAATATGATAAATTTTACATGAAGTATAAAAATGTATTTAAAATAATTATATAGTGGCATTGTGATCAACTGAAATCTTTTTAATTGAGGTTCTTCATTATTCATGGGGAATTGTGAAAGAGTACTTTGTCAATAAAGACAAGAGAACATATTACAGTACACAAATTTTAACTGGATGATGCACAGTATTTGAAAAAGATCTAGAAATCAAAAAAATATCTAATGATTTCTCATGAATTTAAAGAGAAAAAAAAAGACTAAAGAAATTTTAATTGTAATCATCATAACACTTTCACTTTATAACAATATTCTTCTATTTTGTTGATAACTTTGTACTAAGCACTTTTTCTTTCTTTTTCTGAGTGTTTGATTATCTGACATTTTCTCGGTTCACATTACCTTGGATCAGGGCTCTACTATATTTCAAAATCTATTAATGATTTGTTATTGATTAAAATGAGCTCAAAGCTACAAATATTGACAACATTACTATATCTTTTGTTATTTTTTTATACTAATGACTTTGTTTATACTAATAGAATTATTTTTTTATGTAAATAACATAATGACAAAATGTATAAATCAGTGGTCGCCAAACTTTTTTTAACCGTTGACCCCCAATCACTTTCCAAAGCCTCACATTGACCCCCACCGTAAAGTTTTATTGCAAGTGTATATGTATGAGCGGAAAAAAAAAAAGTTGTGGGTTGTGGTCACTGTCTAAGCAAAAAAAAAAAAAAAAAGGTTGTGACCCCTTAGCCGCATCGACCCCCTAATCGACTCCCTAGCCGCATCGACCCCTGGGGTTTATATCGACCACTTTGGCGACCCCTGGTATAAATTATATTAGAAAATAATACAGCTTGAAAAAGTTCAGTAACTCATAAAACTGCTTAATCTATATATATAAAAATGAATGTATGTGTGTCTGTCCTTCATGCATTACCACACCGTTTATCTGATTGCCGTGAAACTTTGGGAAGTTGTTTAATATACTCCGGTGAAGGTTTGTGGCATAGTACGATTGCCATGAAACTTTGGAAAGTTTTTTAATTTTTTAATACACTTCCGCGAAGTACATTTATCCTACGATAGATGGCGCGCGTTTACACAAGCATTCGCGCACAGTGTGTACGATCGATTTCAAATTGTGAAGACCATTTCCCCCCTTCAAAAAATATCTCTATATATGCATTTGTAAACTGTTATTTACGATATTTATAATAATTTTTGTTTAATCACTTTATTTCGACATTTTTGCTAATTATGTATTCGCTCGAACTTCGTTAAAATCTTAACTGTACCCCGAACAATGACCGAAGTTGTAGGAAGAAATTTGCGTATTTTACCGATCTAGGTTTCCCCTTTTTCAAATTTTAATATCGACTCAAAATAATTTAAAAAGACAAATTACAATAAAATGGTTTATTATCCAACTATCAGAAATTTCACAACACGCCAAAGAAGAGAGGAAGGAGCAATTAAATAATGAAAATTATAAAGGATTTTAAAAAATATATAAAAATGAGGAATATCGCACTTCTGACAATCGCTGCGAGTGTGTGGGCTAAATTTGGAGAATTCGTGCTTCTCGCGTGGACAACTGTACGTGGCCGACTCATGCGTCGGAAAACCTTCCGATTTATTCGTGTACGCACTAGACGGAGAAACAAAAAATATCGTGTATCCACGAGCACTCCAATAAATAAATAGAATTGAAACAACACTTTGAAATGTTTTTCGATAAAAACGAATAATAATAATAAGTTTCAATAAAAATGATAAAATGAAAATTTAATTTTATCTTTACGAGTTTGCTTGAATTTCGTTTCTTCTGAGATCGCAGCAATGCGCGACGTGTAAGCTAGTTTTTTATAAAAGTCACAGTTCTCTAGGCCAATGAATTATGAGGTATTTTCTGTTGTAAAAAAATTTACATTCATTTTTAATGAAATAGAATGTAAAAATTAATAAGATGTAATTAAATATGATGGCATTTAACATTATTTTCAGTAATTTAGTTTAATGCAGTTTAATTGAAATATTTCTTTGTTGTTTAGGCATAGAGATGAAGAAGATGAAGAACTGAAACAAAGTAAAGAAATCTTAAGTCAAGTTATTCACATTATTAGAAATATTTGTAAAGTCGTTAATCAAGTAAGTTTTATATACATTAGAAATATTTCAATATCTTAACAATTCAGTTATAATACCATTCTAAATATCTCTGTTTTTGATTAATTCACGAAAGTTACATTCTTGACAAATTATAATTACTTTTTTACTAAATTAAAAAGAAACTGATATTTTCTTCAAAAAAAGACTTCAATGATGTATTAACTGTTAATATAAACTTGTTTTTTTTGTTTGCTAATGTATATATGTTAAAATTATTATTAACTATAAAAAAATAGAACCATTTTTAAAATGTTGAATGTCCTTAATTTCAGTATGTAAGTGTTCTTGTTTTAAGAAATAAGCATTATTAAATCATTAAAAATTAATTGTATGGCATATTAATTTATCATTCAGAAACTATTATTCTAACTTAAGTACAAAAAGAAATAAAACTACACAATGGAAATTTTACTTCATAGGTGGTTAATAAAATAATTTATATATTTCAGAGTTTGTTGCTTCAAAACTTACATGAATCAAGAATGTGTAATCAGTTATTAGTTCCTGAAGCAAATGAAGACATATGGAAACCTGAGTCTTCAACAGTAGAACAATTTAAGAGCCTGAAAAGGATACCATCATTTGATGGTAAGAATTTAAGTATATATAAATTTGTATGTTTTTAACAGAAATAAGAAAATACTGTAGATTGTCAATTATTCAAACTATTTGGGGTGTGACAATTTCAGATAAATATTAATTTTATTTTAATACAATAATAAAAAGAAAGATTAAGACATTGAAATTTAATATATTAGAAGCCTGTGACTTTTTAATCCTGCTTTTGCATTAATATTTGTACTATAATAAATAAAACTTAACATTAACATTGATAACAAGATAGTGAGCCTACAGACATAGCTATTTTTCAGCCAGAATATGCCAGTATTCCATGCCAATAAACAATATAAAAAGTATCAACAGTAGTAGTATCGTATAAAAAATATTGTACTGGTAGATTTATTTGCTACATATTGGGAATTGCTCAGTAAAAAAATATTCTATATGTTCAGGCAGCAAGTCTATTGACTGGCATGACAAAAACAGATAAAACGAACTGGGTCACAGCAAATGCCTTGGGTTGATTGGAACTGATGTAAAAAGTAAATGGGATGGTGACTTCTCCTTTCATCTTTCATGAAATGGACAATACTTTCTGGCAATTCTCCCCCACAGATGTTCTTGTTAAGAAATGATATGGAGAAGTGCTAATGATAATACTTTGAAAAGGAAAATAAAAATGTAGTTACTAAAACAACATTTATTTAGCAATTACAATTAAATCAAAAACAAGACATAAGGAAGACAGTATAGATGAAGAGACATACAAAGTTTGGAAAATACTATAAATGCTACAATATAATATAACATGCAAATGTAAATAAAGAAAAAAATAAATGATTAGTAGTATTAAACATTCTTTATTAGTTATTGTTACATTTTTTCAAGAACAGAACTTTATTTTTAGTCATCATACAATATATACAATAGTACCTATAGTAAGTTTTTTTGAAAAATCACACTGCCTATAGAAATCACACTGTCTACAAGTGTGATTGTGTAAAAACTTTGTAAAATCTGAAATTAGTACTTTCTGGAATCAATTTTGATTAATTGATTTTTGGATATTCACTGCTCCACTTGACATTTAAAATTAAACATTCAACATATGACTTATTGTTTGCATTAATTCTTGGCACAGATAAATTCATTTTGCTGTTTTCATGATGTGTGTTTCATATCTTGTGATATTTCAAAATACTATGCTTTGTTAAATAATTAATTATTTTTTACAACTCTATCTTATTTAAATTTTTATTTTTTTGTCATTAACTATAGCTATATTTTTATATTTTAATTATATAATGAAAAATACCATATTTTATAGCTTATAAAATGCACAGACATATAAGACACATCCCCATTTCAGCACTAAATATTTAGGAAAAAAATGTTTAGTGTATTTAAGCTATCCTGCATTTGGCATTCTGCCTCAAGATGTTTTAAACTGTATTCTAGTTTTTAAAAAAGTAAAATTAAAATCCACACTTTTATTTATCAGGGAAAAAGAGAAGTTTAAAAGAAGTCATTGTAAATTTAAAAGCCTTACTGTCCTTTTTAATTCTAATATTATTTTTAATTGTCTACTTGGACTTAATTTATAAATAGGACATAATCTGGTGTTTAAAGATTGACACAGCAATGAGAGTTAGTTCAGAAAAGAACAAAATTTCTTTATTATATCACCTGTAGTAATAGTTTCTGAAACTATTACTACAGGTGATATAATAAAGAAATTTTGTTCTTTTCTGAACTAACTCTCATTGCTGTGTCAATCTTTAAACACCAGATTATGTCCTATTTATAAATTAAGTCCAAGTAGACAATTAAAAATAATATTTAAAAGAAGTCATTTACCATTAAAATATTCAACATAAATAAATGCAATAGCTGCTTAGCTACAGCAAATAATAATATATTTAATTACAAAGTAACATTTTTATGCAAGAATGAGCTAGATAAAGGTTATTTTAGCATACTGAAGACCATTTGGGAAATTCATTATCTATGGGAGATCACAACTTCACATATAACTTTTGTCCAAAAAAACTCAAAACAATCTTATGTGATATATGACTTAAAATACAGTAATCTAAATAAAGCCTGCTTTTGTTTTATCTTATTATTAATATTATCTTATTGTTTTATCAATTATTACTAAGTATAATAATTTTGAAAAAATATATACATTAACATCTGCTTATTGCAATTACAGATATTGTTATCAGTCATTTAAAGTTATAAGAATTATCATATCCCAAAACATAGTTAAAATACATTTATAAAACATTATTTATTGTAAGCAGTGTCAGTTATTTTTATCATTATCATCAAAAGAGGCATATTTTTTTAAGTGCTCTTTTTATGCTGTTTGCTAATACTGTAAGATCTCTTTTTATGCGGATTATTTTTATGCGATTTTGAAGTTGTGCGGTTTGTATTTCATCCAAAAATTTTTTGGACAAACATACATATAGGCTTGTTTAGGAAGCCCGTGTATAGACAGTCTCCAAAAATCGTGGAACGCTCAAAGTTCACTCCATTTGTTCCGCTGACATATAACGTTTATGGATGTAAAGGACAGCTAGATCTACCTTAATCGCTTTAGTTCCTAGCAATTTTTTATGTAAATGTAATTAAACATAAAAAATACTTAAAACTGAAAAAAACGAAAGAAATGCATTAATTTTGAAGAAAAAGCTTCAAAGTTTAACTTCCTTTGTCTCGCCCTTCTGTGAAATTTAACACCGATGAGTCATTGTTTACACATCTGGATGACCTTGAACATAACTGGAGTTGGATTTCCCGAAGCATTCTCATAGACGTCGCGGGAGGACAAGGGTTTAAAGTAGAGTGAACAATAGCTGGCCGTATATTTTTAAATATTTTTTAAAAGTTTGGAGACTTAAAAAACATTCCAAAAATTCAAAAAAACAAATTTCAGGCCTTAAGGATCGTGTTTTATGTAATGCTATGTAACCTGCCCAAGTTAACTCGGGCAAGGAACTAAAGTTAACTCTTCACATCCAGATGTCAGTGATTTGTTTTTAGAGTGAGCTTTTGCAATTCTGGGATTCCCCTTGTACATGATACTTACCATTGACAAGTCGCTATTATATCATTCTGAGTTTCACATTAAAAGGTATAAACTGTAATTATTTTGAAATTTAATTTTATATGAATTTCTTTCAGACATTCGAAGTAATTTATTAATTAAGCAGCCTATTTCTTTTAATTTCTGCAAACTTTTTTATGCGGTTTTAAGTTAATTTTAACTCGTTTTGGTTTTATGCGATTTTAGAAAATTAAGGAACGTATCCCTACTTTTTCAAGGCAAGTAAAGTCTTTTTTTAAGCGAATATTTTATATGCGCTTTTCTGTAGAACGTATCCACCTCATAAAACGAGACTTTACAGTATATGACTGACTAGCTGTTACCCGCGACTTTGTTTGCAGAGGTTTTGCAAGCAAACCCCATTTACATTCAATATTTCAATAACCATAGTAATTGTTATATAACACCTACCGCTGAAGAGAATTGCCAAGAATCAAACAAACTATTTTCAATTTGATCAATTTTCTAAAACGTTTACAATCGTTCTATAATCGAACGAATATGCAATAACAAATTCGAATTTAAAACAGTTCGAACATTTTTAAAATCGAAATAGATAAAAATATTTATAACAATGTCTGAAATGTTATCAATTTAATACACCTAAGTACTCAATGAAGACTAAACATAGTTGAAAACAAAAGATCGCATCTAAAACAGTACAGTAGAAGCCGTTCTTCCGGTTAAGCCTTAATCCTCTCCCTCTCTCCCCACTTGGGAATTTCTAAAAATCCCTTCTTAGTGTGCATTGCCATGGCGTATCCTACTAAAACGCAGATAAAAACAAAAAATTGCATCTAAAACAGTACAGTAGAAGCCATTCTTCCGGTTAAGCGTTAATCCTCTCCCTCTCCTCCCGCAGGGAAATTTAGAAAAATCCCTTCTTAGTATGCATTTTCATGGCATACCCTACTACAACGCAGATAAAAACAAAAAAGCGCATCTAAAATAGTACAGTAGAAGCTGTTATTCCGGTTAAGCCTTAATGCTCTCCCTCTCCCCCCCACTTGGGAATTTCGAAAAATCCCTTCTTAGTATGCGTTTTCATGACATACCTTAACTGTGCACCAAATTTCACCTCTTTTGGTCCAGGGGTTTGCTCTGGGCAATGATGAATCAGTGAGTCATTCAGTCAGTCAGTCAGTCAGGACAAGCAATTTTATATATACAGACTAGCTGTTACCCGCGACTTCGTCCGCGGAGGTTTTGCAAGCAAACCCCATTTACATTCAATATTTCAATAACCATAGTAATTGTTAGGTCTATATAACACCTACAGCTGAAGAGAATTGCCGAGAATCAAACAAACTATTTTCAATTTGATCAATTTTCTGGAGCGTTTACAATTGTTCTATAATCGAACCAATATGCAATAACAAATTCGAATTTAAAACGGTTTGAACATTTTTAAAATTGAAATAGGTAAAAATATTTATAACAATGTCTGAAATGTTATCAATTTAATACACCTAAGTTCTTAATGAAGACTAAATGTAGTTGAAAACAAAAAATCGCATCTAAAATAGTACAGTAGAAGCCATTCTTCCGGTTAAGCCTTAATGCTCTCCCTCACCCCCTGCGGGGGAATTTCTAAAAATCCCGTTTTAGTGTGCATTGCCATGACTTACCCTACTAAAACGCAGATAAAAACAAAAAATCGCATCTAAAATAGTACAGTAGAAGCCGTTCTTCCGGTTAAGCCTTAATGCTCTCCCTCTCCCCCCACTTGGGAATTTCGAAAAATCCCTTCTTAGTGTGCGTTTTCATGATGAACCCTAACTGTGTACCAAATTTCTGCTCTTTAGGTCTAGCAGCTTGCTCTGGGCGATGATGAATCAGTGAGTCATTCAGTCAGTCAGTCAGTCAGGACAAGCAATTTTATATATATAGATAATGTGCATTTGCTATCAATTATCAATATGAGTTTTAACTAATTTAAATGGTTAACAGTTATTGGTTTTAAGCAGTATTTTCACATAGTAGTTATAGTAGTGTTTAAATTTCTGACATTTTTTACTTTAAATACATTCGGAATTAATTACCATTTTAAGTTAATTAATTAATTAATTAATTAACTTTAATTAATCTTTAAATTATGCATTTTTTAAAATAATTTTTTACATGTTTTTTTAATTATTACAAAAAATCCTTAAAAAGATTCTTCTAAGACAATACATACAAATATGTCTTTATTCCAATCCGGTTCTTTCAAGCGCACATTTGAAGAATTAACAATTTCACGGCGGAGGCAACCTTTCTTTATAGGCTGCTCATTCACCTCTAAATGTAAAACAGTTAAAATATTCCTTTGGTGATGGCACTTCATATAAAATTAAAAATATACATTTGGTAGAAATATATGGCAGGACAAATTAATCATTGATTAATTCGTCCTGGCCATATATTTTTACCAAATGTTTTTTTAATGTTGGAATTATAAAACCTGATTATTGTCTTATTTAATTACTCCACTTAATTTTATCAGTCGGTAATTATTATCTGTAAATACGAGTCTCAAAGTAATAACAATAAGTGGATTCTATTTTTCAGACATAAATTTTAAATATTATATACAGCATGTCCATAAAGTTCGTGTGCAATTTAAAAAATTAATAACTTGATTAGTATTTGTGATAGAGAAATTATGTAGAATGTATTGGAAATAAGAAAATCTATATTTTTTTATTGTTTTATTGTATATTATTAAGTTTTCACATGTCCACCATCATTAGTAATAAAAGGGTAATATGATTTTGTAGTTCTCTAAAGTTTAAAGTTTCAAAAAATTGTTAAATTATTGTGTTGAAGAGTTACTAAATAATTTTACTTAAAACTAGGTACATTAAGCTTTCTAATACTTTTTACAGTTTTTTTACTATCACAAATACTAATAAAGTTATAAATTTTTTTCAATTGCACACAGACTTTATGGACACTCTGTGTTTAAATGTTTTTAATTCATTATTTGGGTACTTATTAAATAATGATTTAACAAATATTTATATGTTTATATTTTATTACCAAATTTAAAATGCTAGTATTTTATTTTATTTTGTAATTTAATTAACATTTTTTATTTTTATAGATTATAATCAAAATAATTATTTAGAAGCAACTTTGAAGTTTATGCCTGGTGCATTTGACTGTGATGTAATTTGGCAAACTCACTTTACACTTCATCACAGACTATATACTGGACAGAGTCGCAGTAACATGTCTAGAGGTTTGTTTTATAGATTCTTTAAAGTTTATTATTATTTAATGTCAGAATTTGCAGTAAATATGTAAATACAGTAGATCCCCCTATAAGATGGTAGATACGTTCCGTTCTTTATGAATCAATTTTGTAGGAATCATAGTTTACGGACTACGGCTGTTTGAAAGGTTTTCTTTCATAAAATTAATCGATTCTAGACTAATTCGACTCAACATTTCCAAAATACGTATATTTTTTTG